CTCACAGTGACGTTGCAGAAGATGCCACCTACACCACGATCTTTTCAGAGAGAGGCAAGACCATGAGAGAAGGCTGGGAGAAAAGGCAGAGAGAAAGCAGAAGGAGGCAAGACCCAGATTCTGGGTGCGTTGCAGTATTTAGCCAAAAACTGAAGCCAGTTTATGGGTCATCTACGTACCTCTCTCCAGCTTACTGAGGTTTGTCAAGCCTGGGCTCAGAAGGACTCACTAGCATCTCTATTCATCACGGGATCCCAGATCGCTAACTTGCTCTGTCCAGTCTGCCACTGTTGTGGTATCAATACCGAGTCACGCATTCCCCTCCAACAGGGTGATCAGTGACAACCCTTATCTTTATGGTTTACCCGCCTGGGCAGGTCGCTTGCTTCCCAAATGCCAAGGCCTGTTAATCCATTCCCCGTTTCTCTCACTGTACTAGGAGCAGGGGACATCAGTAATTCAGGGATTTTTATTAACGTTTGCTGGCTCGTGTACCAGGCTGAGGTGGGAACTGACTCCTGTGAACTATTAAGACCATGGGTTTCTCTGTAACGCCAGGACCCAAAGGGACTGAAGCCTGGAAAGAGACAACGGGCAACCCATTTGCTGCCATCATCTGCCGAGAGAGCCAGATTGGTCTTTCTCCTCTGGACACTATTGAGGTCCTTTTCCTATAAAGGACATCCACAGACATTAAACTCTATGGGGACACTACTGAAAATGATCACGTATGACTGAGAATGCTGAAACTAAATTTATAATACTAAGCTGCTGTAATCTGCAAACAGTGCTAAATGCTAGAAAGAGGCAGCAGCCTCCTTCCAAAACTGTTTTCAAGTACATATGTTCAAGAGAGTCACTTGTCACAGCCAAAGCAGGTGCACACTTCTGCTCAACCCCTAGGAAGTCACCATAAGGATTATCACCATGTAGATCTTTACAGAAAGATCACAAAACATAAGATGAAAAATAACTATTAAGTTGTCTAGTCTAGCCACCCATCCAGCCCTTATAAATGCAAAGTTACTTATTTGCATGGGGAAGACCAAAGGTTTAGATTGTGGGTGTTTTTAACTGAAAACAGCAACAGAGGTGTGAAAAAAGCATGCTGCCAGCATACAATTCTTGCTTAGCTGCTGCAGTAAAGGGAAACAAGGCTACAAATTACATTCAGAGCTGCGTATTTCCTTTTGGTTTAAAAACTACAGCTCAGTTTTCAGAGAATTAACAAAATGTCCTGCCTGCAGATAGGTTTTTATGATTTTTAGACACTGATTGAAAACATAAGTGAAGACATGGAGTTGGTGTGACTGTGCCCTTGGGGATGAGCAGCTCCATGCACAGGTGTTTCGGGAAATCTTTGTAAACCAACATTGCTACCCCTGGGTTAATTGATTTCACAGGGAGAGCTTGCTGACATGGTGTTTCATCCCGCTGCAGGATTTCCCCGGAGGTTTCAGGACATGGTAAGACAAGGAAAAGCACACGCTGTTCCCAGAGCAGAGCTGCTGCACGCCAGGAGCACACTGCGCATCGGCCAGTGATGGTGGGATGGGAAAGGGGGAAGAGGAGGAGAGCAGCAACTCGGCAAGTCTCTGCTTGGCTGGTTTGTGTCCACAGACACCTACTTATCCTACGTCGGATGTGTGGTGATGCCCTCCAAGTTTATTCTGCATGCAGGTCCCTCTGCTCGGTGCTCAGGGTCGCTGGTGACGCTGGTGCTCTCCAGGTCTGGGAACAGACTCCCTGGGCGAGCATGCCTGCGGGGAAAAGCTCACATCCCCTGGCAGAAAGATGCATCCCAAAGGAGGCAGCATCCCCGGGCACCCCGGCCTGCAGAGCCTCCCCAGATCCCCTGGTTTCATGCACCAGGGAGGTTTAACTTCAAATCATTTTCAAGCTGTTGCTTTTCCCGCAGAAGTTTTATTTTGACATGCATTCTTGTGTTCAGTGTCTTTCCTTCGTGATGGCTCTGGCAGTCCGTACCCCCAGGACTCTGTCAGGAGGACTTAGCTCGGTGCTTGGTTCGAGTGGTCTGCTCCAGATCTTGTCTCTTCAGATGGGACTTGGCAAACAACTTCCTCCATGAAATAAAGGATTCAGGCTCTTACCATGCAAGAGAGACCTCCTGAAAGACTTTCATATGGAGCCAAAAAGACTAGAGAGTGTCAGAGTTTTAAATGCAAAATACTGCTATCAGAAAGGTATACAGACCTCGTACAGGAGGGACCCTTCACACACTGGCAGCCTTTGAATTCAGCTTTTGAATAAAAGATTTGTCTTCAGACAGAAAAAGTGATGCCTTTTATGAGTAATAAGGCAAAAAGCATTTTTCTTTTTTTCTGGATGAAACTACCATTCAATATAAAACAAGCTGGCTCTTGGTTTATTGAAAAGCCAAGCTCATATTTCACCCTGGGAAAATAACACATCATACAGCTCACCAGTCTGCAGATGCCGGAGAGATGTGGGTGTTGGTGCTGCTGAGGCTGGGATTAGCTTTTGTGTCACAGGCCAGTCTGAGGGAATACGGTTCATGACTTGGGCTACAGCTCTTACCAGAGATAGTGAGGCAGAAGCTGATGGTGAGTATCTTCACTGGGAATTGGGGGTTGTTAAGAAGTTTTGTCTTGTAAGTACGTATTAAGCATTTGCCTTTTAACAAAGGCTTTTCATTGCTGGTGTATGTGAACGTAATTAAGTATATAAAGCTACATCTGAATGTTTGAGTTTATCCTTGCATATGATACACCAATGTTTAAATGTGAGCAGTGTCCAACAGGAAGCCTTACATATTTGTCTGCAACCTGAGGTGTGACCTGGTCCCCTTTGTGGTTCTTGGGGTTCCCCTTTCGCCCTCCCTGCTCGGGCGCCGGCAGATCTGGCTCCGTCCAGGCAGTCAACAGGCAGCCCCATGGGCACAGCCTCCTTGGGGGCCACCGCAGGTGATATCTTCTGGATATAGCTAATAATTGTGGCAGGTGCTTCCTCCATGGGAAGGTGCCAGCAGGGTAGAGCAGGTCCCCGGCTCCCAAGGGGTCTTCTCCTGCTCTCTTAAATACGCAGGGACTATGCATTCCCACTGATACTCAATCCACTGCAAGCCCTTACAGACCAGATTTCACCAAAATACGAAGCACTCCCCACTCCTGTAGTCTTCTCTTAGTTTTTCAAGCAGTATTAGACCCAGGAGCTTTTGCTGTCAGTGCTGCTTGTGATTAAAGTACTCCACAGGCACCTTTCAGCGAGCCGGACAAATTCATCCACGCTGCGAGTGTCGCTGACGCCGAAACCCACACTGGTCATTCCCAAGAAAAACTGGCGCAACAGCCTGACAGGACAGCGGTGGCTTCAGAAGTCGTCAAGGCAGGGTCTGATGGCTGCGGCACCTCTGCCCAAGCTCACTGAGCGAGCAGGCGGTACCCAGCACGCGCGGGATCTGCGAAGGTAAAACTATCAGCTCAGATAAGCGCTTGCAGCAGTGCCCTGAGCGCGTGCGGCGCGTGTGCCCTGTCTGCTTCTCTGCAAAGTAATTGCGGGATGCAGCATCCGTTTTGATGTCTCCCATCGACCGAAATCCTCACATTGCCCACTCTTGCCAAGGCAGCACCTCATTCTGATGCATAAGCAGGTGAAAGCTGTGGAATAACGTCTGTAAGGGGGGGAAGCAAGTACCCAGGTCTGCTTTTCTTAGTGCCTTGTTTGCTTACTATGGTGTGAGAGCAGGGACAAAAATATTGTTGAAGGTGCATGTTCTCAAAGTGTTTCAAGAAATACCTAATTGCAACTGTCAGCTAAGGGATGTAAAGAGAACCGTTTCTGCATGTTTTTAACCATTTGTTATGTCTTTCCCATTAAAAAAAAAAGAAGAAAAAAAGGCAGAGCGCTAACAGGCAGAGGCAGAAGTTGCTGATGGGAGCAGCAGGTTTGAAGTCACATCTGAAACTTGTAGCCACTGGAGAAAACCCTGGGAGAGGAGGGCCAGGAGGATGGGGAGGCAGGGTGCTCCGCCGGGGAGCAGCTGTGCAGAAGTTGCTGTGAGCTCCTCGCCTTTCCCTTGCACTCTCAGGGGGGCCGGCAGTGCTCCTAGGGCTGCCAGCACCCTGCAGACCACCCTGGCATCCATTCAGGTCTTTTTGGGGAGCCTTCGCCTAACGCCGTGGCAGTCCATGCTGGGCGTCTGTGAAAAGTGGGTGTAGGCATCACACCTCCAACGCCTTGTGCAAAGCACTTGAAAAGGAGGAAAGAACATAAAGAGCAATTGCAGCTCTAATTTACACATTGTGTTTAAAGCTGTGATAAACAGCAGCAAACCAGCGAGGAAGGGAAGGCTGCAGGGGGCTGCAGTTTTGCAGCAGGTTGGCAGCAGCCCGCTGCAGGGCACGTGTTTCCCTTCTCCTGAGGCAGCTGTGGAATGGAATCCCTGCAAGTTAGAAGAGGAGACCATGCTTAAAGGCTTGAGTGGAGACCTGGGCTTTGGTCTGTGGGGATTTCTGCCTGGGAGCAGAGAAGGGTGGCTCATGTTCCTGCTGCACCTCTGTGCCAGGGAATGAGAGTGAGATAGCGTGGGCAGCCACACTGAATCATAGAATCATAGAATTGTAGGTTGGAAAAGACCTCTAAGATCATCAGGTCCAACCATCCACCCATCACCACCATGCCTGCTAAACCATGTCCTGAAGTGCCACATCTACACGTTTTTTGAACACCTCCAGGGATGGCCCACCCCGTCCCCCTGCCACAGGCTCCCCTGCTCTGCAGGCGGGAGCTGCAGCGGGAAGTGGTTGTGCATGGGCTGCGCTTCCCATGGTGACTGTGGAGCTGTGACTTGTCCCTGGGCCCACGATATCATAGGGTGCCTGCTGGAAGGCTGCAGGAGCGCCTGCGGCTCTGCTCACACGCTCACCTTGGGACGAAGCTCTTGAGGTGATTTTTTCACTCTTTGCGAGCGCAGACTGTCACGGCCGCACTTGTACCCCGATGCACTTTGCAGTGTGACGATGTCGCTCCACGGCCACCTTTTGGAAGACGCCAAGCAGGATTTGAGGCAGGTGGAGAGAGAGATGCAGAGGCAGATGAGGCTGCTGGGGCTGGACCTGCAGCAGTTCCGCGAGGAGCTGCCTGTGTCCTGCCCACGCAGCCTGGCACTGCGCCCTTGCTGCCTGCACCGGCCCGACCTCCGCCACTGGGAGAGAATGGTCCACACCAGGAGGCTGGATGTGGAGAGAGAACTGGGCAGGTAACAGATGTTTGCCCGCTTTCTGTGGGCATCTGCACCCTTTAAGGCAGGATGAAGGGAGGTTTGGCATCAGTATCAGGAGCAAAGGTGGAAACAGATAAGCAGGACGGGAGAGAAACAGCCTTTTTTGGAGACGTTAGTTGCAAGGGGGATGGAAAGGCACAGCTTGTGCAGCCCAAGAGGAGCCACGCAGGCAGCACCTGTGCTGGAAAGGTTTGAATCATAACGTCACTATATCAATCGTCTCACAGACTGCATCTAAGCTAAAGTACACAACTAGATCCAAAGTCCGTCTTCAGCATCAATTCAGTTTAAGCCTGTTGAACATGTAATTATCTTCATCAGTAGCCAAAATGTGCCAGTATGTGGTGGGGTGCAGCCCTGATGCACCACAGACCCGTGTCACTGTTTTCCCAGCTTGTACAGTAGGAGGAATAAGTGTCGGGATTTCTACATCTCGGTTTGACCACTGTTGTGATGATTTTAGTTTGTCGATAGATCTCAGGATTGACTCTGGTATAGAAAGAACCCAAAGGTACCTCTACGGCAAAGGAGTTGTTGAATGATAGAACCTTATCATTTGGGTTAAGGCATAACCAAACATTTAAAGACCAGAAGGGCTAAGAAATCCTTTGGTCATCAGCAGCGGTGGGAGCCTCTTACTGGATTTACTGCATTGGTATTTTCTCCCCAAACTCGAGCTCCTACGTGGCTCTTGGAGATGGTGAGCCCTTGATCTTGGCAATTAAAGATGTGACATTTTCATTACTCGTAGTGCAGCAAGTGTCAGCCCACAGTCTGCCACATGCGTTAGCTAGTGGGTGCGACAAAGTCAGAGGAAAAAGGAAAAAGCCTGAGCCCTGGGTTAATTTTACACTTGAGCAAAACCAAAAGTTGCTGTGAGGTTACGTTAAGCTTACCCAGTGGCTGTGGCTCACGCAGGACTACCGAGCAGCAGATTTCAGATCCAGGCCCCCGGGTGCTGCGGTGGCTGGTGTCCATGCCCAGATTTTCATCAGTGCGTTGCATACCAGAGCTGGGCAGGCACTGCATCCCCTTGCAGAACAATTGCATGCCAAAATCCTGGTGAAGGAATGGAAATTCAGTCTGAATGAAAGCCGGGAGGTCTCTGGGCAGGCTCTGGGATGCGGGGGCACACTCTCCCTGAGTACTAGGCTCCTTGGCCCTGCCACATTCAGGACAACTCCCTGGTTTTAACACAAGTCTGTACAGCTTCCATCTGAAACCACACCACAGCAAGATTTCAGCCCATCGCACTGAGAATTCAACCATCCCCTTCCCACAAAAAAATGCCCGAAATGCCCTGAATGACCAACTCTTCCCAGCATGTTTATGCTCCTCCGACCAGCAGTATAGAAAAACCAAAGGGGCCAGCAGAGAAGACACCTCTCACAGAGCACAGAAAATGCATCTCAAAACCACCACACAAGGCTGAATCATTGCAGGCTTTAAAGAAGATTGCTGAAATGAGTGTACCTTGCTAAGGAACCACTCATTAGGGATTTCTCACCTTGGTGGTCATGCCTGTTCCCTTATTGCTTGCCCTATTTCCTCTTCCATCACACACATCGTCCTTTTAATTTGGTGCCTTGTGTCCGATTTAGCTATTAGAATTGAGGTGACCCTTCCATTTTCTACTTTACAAAAGGTTTGAAGAAGAGCCTGACTTCTGGTCGAGCAGAGTCACTGTCTGACAGTATTAGAAATCGTTTTAATGGCTCAGTGAGCCTCCGGCCCAGCTCTGCAGGACCATTTTGGGGTTTTTTTGCTAGATGTGTCTCTTATCCACTGATTGCTTTAAAAAAAATTCCTAACTGTAAAATGTGATCTGTTGTAACTATCTGTTTAAAATGTAGGACAATGCGTGAGACGGATACACATGGTTCTGTGGCCATGTGTACAGGTGAAAGAGGAGAGCTTGCTTTAGGTGAAGGAACTTTTCAGCTCCACGATTGCGCCATCCCAAGAGAGCGTGCTGAAATGCTCCTGACTGCTGCGGTGTGCGGGTGGGAGCGCCTTCTGATGGTGCAGACACCACTCCACGTGCCATGCACCAGCACGTAGATGGACCCAACAGTTTCCTCTTTACTTCTCTTGCTCGCGAGGTGGCCCACCCATTCCTCTATGAGTTGGACTGAAAGGTTGTCCTCTTCTTTTTATTACAGAATGCAAAGAAGACTTAACAGGATGCTGCACCCTTCCCATGATCACAGGCTTTTGTCTTTGATGGATATGACGGCTTTTGACCCCAAGGAAGTCACTGTAACGGTGAAAGATGGGAAGGTGACGGTGTTAGCAGAGCACGAGGAGGAGTACACCACCACGAGAGGGAAGGAATATAACTACAGAAACATCACGAAGGAAATCAGCCTGCTGCCAGGGGTGGGCGAGGACGAGGTGACCTACTCGCTGGGACCAAATAGCATCATGAAGATCGAAACGGCACACAAGTGCTACCCTTGTCTCCTGAGCCGCTGAGCTGCAGCAAGCAGCAGCACCCAGGGCTGTCGTTCCTCTGCCACAGCCCTCCTCCCCACTGGCTTCAGGTCTGTCCTGCTGACTGTGTGCCAGCAGCTCCTCGGGCCTCTTCTGAAATAAAGACAGCACTCTGAGCAGACGCGTGTGAGCATCATTTTGAAGGGGTTTGGTGGGTGAAAAGGGGGAATGCCAACGGGAAATCACCAAGATGGTTTTGGGCATACTTGGCTGCAGGGACTTGCTGGGTTCTGAAGGCACATCTGGAGGTAGCGTGGCTCCGGGCGGGTATTGCTGTTGTGTTCGATCTCGTGGATTTTAAAGGCTGAGAGGCACCCTTTATGATCAGTCACATTTCTATAAGGACACTTCTTTCAACCCCGCCACTTCCATTTGAGCTGTAGGTTTTCTAGGAAGAAAACCCCGAGAGGAGGGCCTTCCTCCCCAAAAAAAGGAGCTGTGCTGTTTGTCCCCTTGGTTTGACTCCTGCAGATGCCGCCTGGCTAGGAAGAGCCATGGTTGAAGGACGGAGAGCTCTTCCTTAGAAGATGCTGGGACTAGGGCAGAGTACCTACCAGCAGAGGAAGGGATGACTAAAGCGTTTCCTGCTGTAGGGATCGATAGCTCCAAATTGATAAGAAAACATTTCTCATCTTGGAAGAGGGGGAGAATTGTCAATATAGTTTCTTCAAGGTAATATTAATGAAAAATGCAAGGTCCCAAGTGGGACCTCACACAGCCTCTCCCTGCACGCAGGGACTGGCAGGATCAGCGGGATGGTGGTGACACCAAGGCGCAGCCTTGCAGGGGGATTGGCTTTGCTGACCTGGCCTCAGCACTCGGGCACGCGCTCCTGTGGGAAGAAGCATTAGCTTCGCTGCAGAAAGGCACGTAACGAGACCATGTGCCGGACGCCTGCCTTTGCGAGCCGCGTGGGCAAGCTGTCTCACCGGCCAGCACCGCCTGGTTCAGGCTTCAGGAGCTCCCCGGGACAGGGGGTGGAAGGTTGCCACCTCTTTTTGTGGCACACTCCCCCGCAGCAGATTTTCCTGGCGGGGAATCTAACGCTTCAGGTTGTGCTGGCGCAGAAACGAACCTCTGACGTTAACTAGCCCGGCGGGGGAGAGGGTGGGCAGCCCGTGGGACGGCCGCGTGCGGGTGTGCTGCCCACTCGAAACCCCACAGAGTGGGGTCTCGTCCCCTGCCATCAGCCTGGCGGAGAAACGCAGTTATCTGCTGTCACACAGGGGGACCCTGGCCCCCCCAGACCCCCACACTGTTGGGGCAACGCACCCCTGGCATCTGAGGGGTCACCGGTGCCGAGGGATCCCACCCGCTGCTGCAGCGGGGATATTTATTACCCTGGAAACACTCATGCCTGAAGAAAACAAAGCCAGTCCTTTATTTTCAGCCTGCAAGCAGCCAGCCCCACTTTCACAATTTGCCTTCATCGTACGAAGGTGGTGAAATCAGAGGGGATGGATCACCAAGCAGTGAGACAACGGCTGGGAGCACCACAGCTGAGGAGACCCCTGGCTCCACTGCCCCCTGCTCCTCTCCTCCCCACTGGAAATGTGCTCCAGCAAGGAGTAAAACAGCCCGTGTCCGTGCATTCAGAAGGCTCAGAGCAGCCCTTCTGCACCAATCTGATGTCTTTTGGACCAGGATGGTGAAGCCAGCAGCACCTCAGCCTCCTGTCAGGTGAGCACAGCCCTTTAGGGCAGCTCACTGCAAGCATGTCCTTAAAATCACCTGCGCCGAGAAACAACTCCTTCAGTCACACATCCCAGCAAGCAGGTGAGGATCAGTTTGGCTTGGCCGTAACCAGCTCGGTAATTTAACTTTGGTGCAAGAAAAGAGCTGCTTCTGGCACGTTTTCAGCATCCAGCTAGCACTGAGAACCAGCTGATTACAAATTTTAAGCTTTGTGTGCTTGGTGTGTAGCTGGGTCAGTACAGAACCATAGAGCCATGGAATGGTGTGGGTTGGAAGTGACCTTATAGGTCATCTCTTTCCAACCCCCCTGCCATGGGCGGGGACACCTGCCACTGGACCAGGTTACTCAAAGACCCATCCAGCCTGGCTTTGAACACTGCCAGGGAGGGGGCATCCACAGCTTCTCCGGGCAACCTATGCCAGTGCCTCACCACCCTCAGAGTGAAGAATTTCTTCCTTATAGCTAATCTAAATCTGCCCTCTTGCAGTTGAAAGCCCCTTGCCCTGTCACTACAGGCCTTGGTAAAAAGTCTATCTCTGTCTATCTTATAAGCCACCTTTATAAATTGAAGGGCCACCTATGCACAGGTAGCTGGATTCTGCTGATGTTGGTGGAGAATGTTAAGAAAAAAGCCACACCTCAGCTAGGAGGCTGCAAGGGAGCCTCCTGCGAGAGCAGGCGGCAGGGACGGGGGCTGAGGATGCTACAGACCCCCGGAGAAGACCGTCTTCTTACGAAGCAACCCACAGAGTAATGAAACTGGAACCCCTTTGGGATACAGTCTTCTCACTTTGTAACTATTTCTACAGAAGCTGTCTAGGCGTGCAGAGGAGAAACGTATTTCAACACCTCCCATCTACCCGTGACTTCAGACTTGCAGAACACGTGGAGTTCCGCAGCGATCATAGGGCTGGCTATGACTGCTCTTATCCTTATTGCTCATCCTTTCACACATGCTCTTCACACTTTGTTCCTAAATTAGGCTCCTGACACGAAATCGTGCTCCTGAGCAGCAAGACTTTATTGACAGATTTGACTTAATTTGCAGATTTCAAGACTAGAAGGCACTGTCAGATCATCTGACCTAATCTCCTATTTTATTATCTTATACCACAAAAAAAACTGCCTGAAGTCTAACTTCCAGGAAGGTATCTATTTGAAGACTTCAGGAGAAAAACTCCAGCTCCTCTCTTTGTATTTTCTTCCAGTTGGTAATTTCCTTGTAACTAAATGCCACGCCTTGTTACTAACGTGAGACTGTCTGGCATCATCAGTGCATGATTTTTTCTCTGCCAGAAGACGAAAGCCCTCAGAAGTTAGCTTTGTAGTAACTCAGTACTAGCTAAGAACTTCTCCCACGTTGTAAGCAAGTCACTTTTCAAACTTGGAATTCTGAGGTTTCTAACTGTAAGACCTGGTGTCCAACTCTTTAATATTTTTAGCTCGTTCTTGCCCCCTTTTTCATGTTTTCAGTGCCCTTGGCAGAGAGGGCCACCAGCACTGGCTGCAGTAATTCCCTCTCCACCTTGCCAATACAGCGTACAGAGGGAGACACACGTTGTTGGCTCCTTTATGGTCTTCCCAAGATGGAAAGGCCCCTGTACCTTCCTGATGCTGCATTGCAGAAGGTTCTCCTGCCAGGTGGCTGTTCCACTCTCAGCCCTACAGCTCACTGGAGGGTCCCCCCTCTGCAGGCTGCAGCCTGGGGCGATGGCCTGGGCTGCTCCTCCTCGCTCTGTGGACACAGGAACGGTTGGCGTGGCAGCCCAGGGGACGCGAAGAAACAGTCGAGGGGAAGTACGCTTCGGTTATTAAAGAAGATTTAGGAAAAAAACTGTTGGCTTGTATTTTTTTCTTACAGAAGTGAGCCACAAATAGCCATTTTTTCCTACTGATTAGGGGTCCTAGTGTTTAAATTGAAAGAGTACTTGCAGGGTGAGGGGCACATCTTAGGGAGCATTCTGAGGAAAATTCTTAATTCATTTTCTATCCTGTGAAATGCTAGTCTGGACTGGGAGGAGCATCTCTGAGACCTTTTCCGCAATAGAACTAAATCATTCAAATAGTCACTTAGTTTTGTGAATACTTACATTCTGTAAATACCTTGGGACGTACCTCAAAGCGTTCTCAAAATCTGTACCAACCAAATGTCGCTTAACTGAGAGTTCGCTAAGTGAAAACACCTTTGGAAAACCACCGGTACCACAGCAAGCTGTGCTTACGTCAGCATCGCCCATAAAATAAATGCCTTTGCCACTAGGTGGCAGATCGTTTTATCATTTTTTTTTAATTTACTGCTGTGTGACAATTTTTTTAAAACCAAAGCCGATGAAGGTGGTGTTACAAAGCAATAAGGCTGGCACGCGTTGCCACTGGTATTTTTCTTTACAATGTTAATAGCAAATGAGGAGGAGGGCAAGAGTTAGAGCTGTGGTTTGCGATCCCGGGCGTGTGGGAGTCCTCGTGACAGACCACCATCATGTTAGGTTTCTGCACTGGAGTATATTGACCTTCCATCCTGCAGCTCTTCACCTGATGTACAGCTCCTGCATAAGATGAGCTTCCTTTTCTTCAGCAGCCCAGCTCTACCGTGGCTTTTAGCTTGAATAGGGATTTCCAGGAGTTAATGTATTCTTCAGCACATTATAGAACCATAGAATCATAGAATGGTAAGGGTTGGAAGGGACCTTAAACATCATCTGGTTCCAACCCCCTTGCCATGAGCAGGGACATCTTCCACTAGGCCAGGTTGCTCAGAGCTCCATCCAACCTGGCCTTGAACACTTCCAGGGAGGGGTATTTTGTTGCGCTGAATTATTTTGGGGGCCAATTTTGACCATCCTTACATAGCAGATACCCTTTCTGAATTCCCTGGCAAAAGAAGGATGCCCGAGAGGGTGACTTGGCTCTGCAGTTGTAAACGTTAATGCATTCTTGAACTCTAGCCTTATCGAGGCTTTTATAAATAGCCAGAGCCCTAGGAATTTGTAACGGGAGGTCATCTGAGGATGCTAACTCCAGGCATCTCTTCGGTGCTGGGTTTCTAGGGGGTTTCCTCCAGCCAGGCAGAGCTCTGCGGGCTTAGCTCATGTGGAAATGCTATTTGTCTCCCAGCTGTTGCAAACCAGGGAGAGCGGTACCTCGGCAGGAAGGTGCAAAGCGATCCCAGCTTTCCTCTCCCGGTGTGCCGGTGCGCTCCTGCTCCAGAGAGCTCGGGCACGGCCCTGGGCTGTGCTCTCTCTGCAGGCAGCACCTTCGCCAGAGGGCTGCTCCTCTAAAGGCACAA